GGCCTTGAAATATAAGTAGGATTTCAATACGCATAGACAGGAAGAAAGGATGGGAGTACATTTAACATAAATAGTAAATGGTTCTAGTTAAAACACAGACCAAGGAAGAAGAGAAAGCCGTAGAAGTGTTTGGGTGGCAAACTGCAGAAGTAGTAATTAGAATTAGGCCGCAAGGATTGGTTAGTGGGGCACCTGGGTGGCTCAGTGGTGGTGAGCATCCAACTCTTGGTTTCCACTCAGGTCATGATCTTGTGGTTCATGGGACCAGCCCCACATCAGGCTTTGTGCTGGCAATATAGAGCCTACTTGGGATTCTCTCTCTCCCTCTCCCCTGCTCCCTCTCTCTTCAAAATAAATAAATAAACTTAAAAATAGAGGAAAATTGGTTAGAAAATTATTTCTATAGACAATGAGGGGTTAAAAAGGTCTGAACTAGTATAGTGATAGTAAGAACAAAGAGGATTAGACAGATAAGAGACATACAACAAAGGTAGAATTACGGTTTGACAACTTGACAAGGGTCAATGATAGAGTCAAAGATTCTCAGTGATAAGACAGTTGGGATGTCATTAACAGAAATAGGGAACACAGGAAGTAGTAGGAGTCGAGATGGAAATGAGTTTATCATCCTCAGACCTATTTTACCTATAGTGCTATATAAGAAAGGATGGCCCTAAAATTATTGGAAAGCAGTTACCTTTATTTTTTTTATTTTTTTTTCAACGTTTTTTTTTTTTTTTTTTTTTTTTTTTTTTAATTTATTTTTGGGACAGAGAGAAACAGAGCATGAACGGGGGAGGGGCAGAGAGAGAGGGAGATACAGCATCGGAAACGGGCTCCAAGCTCCGAGCCATCAGCCCAGAGCCTGACGCGGGGCTCGAACTCCCGGACCGTGAGATCGTGACCTGGCTGAAGTCGGACGCTTAACCGACTGCGCCACCCAGGCGCCCCAAGCAGTTACCTTTAAAACTAACATATGATATAAAATGTCTCTGCCATCCAACTTTATTTAAACCTTAGCCATTATATTCCTTCCTTCTCTCTGTCTCCCTGACTTCACTTCCTTCCAGGGTGTTGAACAACTCCAGGGTACACCATCCGTACTGCACAGGGGGTGCTAATCCCACAGAAATCTTCTGCTGTTGTGCAACATGATAACTTTGCTTCCTTCCCTATCCACCATAAAACCAGGGACACAGTTTCAACTATTCTTTAATTACTACTATTAAAGTTCAGATTAGGAAGAAATTAGATGTATTCCTCAACCCAGTGTGAGCAAAGTGGTCCATTCACTTCCATTGGTAACTTTTTGAAAATAAACTTAAAATACATTTGCCCAAAATACAAAAGCAGAGTGACAACCTAAGTGTTATAGACTGAATGTTTGTGTACCCCCAAAATTCATATGTTGACATCCTAACCTCGATGTGATGGTATTAAGTGGGGCCTTTGGGAAGTAATTAAAACATGAGGATAGAGCTGTCATAAAGGGGATTAATGCCCTTATAAAAGAGATTCCAGAGAGCTCTCTCTTCCTGCCATGTGTGGCATAATCTTCTTTATTTTTTTTAAGTTTATTTATTTTGAGAGAGAGAGAGAGTGAGTGGAGGAGGGGCAGAGAGAGAGGGAGAGAGAGAGCATCGCAAGCAGGCTCTGCACTGTCAGCACAGCCTGACATGGGGCTCAAACTCACAAACCATGAGATCATGGCCTGGGCTGAAATCAAGTTAACCAACTGAGCTACCCAGGTGCCCCTAATCTTCTGTATTTTTTGGTGTGCTTGTTTATTACAACTCTTTAAAAACCAAAAAATATTCTTAGTAAAAAGTCCATACAAAAGTAATCTGCTCCCTGCCCCCCAAATATCTGGCCTATAGTCTGTAATTTGCTGGCATCCTACTCTAGAAGATGCTCTTCTTTCTGTCATTGATGGCTGTGTGGTCTACAAAGCTGATCCCTTGCCAGGTCTTCCTGAAAATAAACCTGCTGGTCAAGAGATCTACCCAGATACATCTGCAAGCCAGGAAGCAGGCACTCACCAAAACCCAATCATGCTGACACCCTGATCTCAGATTTCTGGCCTCCAGAATTGTGAGAAATTCCTATTGTTCATAAGCCACCCAGCCTATGTTTTTTTGCTATAGCAGCCTTAGTTAAGACTCTGTTTCTTCCCATCCCAGTGAGTCTCCAAATTTCAGTACTCTTAATTCTTTCTCTCAACTTATTCAGTGCAGTATAAACACGGCTTTAGTACAGAGACAGCTTGATAGACGAAGTACTCTGACCACAATGCAATTAAATTAGATATAAATATTAAAGGATAACAAAAAAACCCCACCTAGGTTAAAGAAGAAATCATAACGGAAAAAATATTTAACTTAGAAATGAACAAATTATAAAATTTGTAAGATGCAGGTAAAATGTAGTTGGAAATTTTTAACATTAAATACAGTCTTTTAGAAAAGAAGACTAAAGATCAATGAGCTGAAGAACAAAGTTAAGGACTCACATGACCTGATTTCACTTATCATACAGTTTCAGTTATCAAGATGGTTTGGTAATCATGAAAGAAACATAGATCAATGGAGTATAATAGTCCCACCATATATGATCAATTGATTTTTGACAAAAATGTAAAGGTAATTCAATGGAGAAAGGACAGCCTTTTTACCCAAGAAGCCATCACTACAATCAAGATACAAACTGTTAGTATCTTCAATGGAGTATTACTTAGCAATCAAAAAGAATGAAATCTTGCCATTTGCAACTACATGGATGGAACTAGAGGGTATTATGTCAGAGAAAGACAAATATCATATGACTTCACTCATATGAGGACTTTAAGATACAAAAAAGATGAACATAAGGGAAAGGGGAAGGGAAGCAAAAATAATATAAAAACAGGGAGGGGGACAAAACATAAGAGACTCTTAAATATGGAGAACAAACAGACGGTTACTGGAGGGCTTGTGGGAGGGGGGATGGGCTAAATGGGTAAGGGGCATTAAGGAATCTACGCCCGAAATCATTGTTGCACTATATGGTAACTAACTTGGATGTAAATTAAAGAAAAAAAATGTTAATATCTTTTAATTATTAAATGTATTTGTTTTGATGAGTATTTTAGTTTCATTTAATGAATGCTACATGTCCTATCCCATTAGAAAGAATTCAGAATGAATACACCATAAGATTAGGTGAAACTTGGGAGTTGTACTTTTCAAAGGCCATTTCTTTAATTTAATCCTAGTTGTATGACCTTTAGCAAGTCGCTTAATTTCTCATTTTCCCTTTATTTTTCTATTTCCTTACGTCTTCTCTCCCCCTTTCCTCTAATGTTTTTGTGAAATGAAAACATGAAAAATATGGTCAGCAAATGTGGGATAACAGAAATGCTCTGGATCTTGTTATGGTGGTGACAGTTTCATGGGTATAAATATTTGTCAAAATTCATCAGTTGTGTACTTTTAAGAATGTAGTTTAGGGGCACCTTGGTGGCTTAGTCAGTTGAGCATCCATCTTCAGCTCAGGTCATGATCTCAGGGTTTGTGAGTTCAAGCCCTGCATCAGGCTCTGTGCTGACAGCTCAGAGCCCAGAGCCTGATTCAGATTCTGTGTGTGTGTGTCTCTCTCTCTGCCCCTCTCTCATTTGCACTCTGTCTCTTTTTCTAAAAAATTAACAAACATTAAAAAATATTTTTAAAAAAGAATGTAGTTTATCATTCATAAATTACATTTTGGTAAATAAACTTTAAAAAGAAAAACATACCGGCGCCTAGGGGGTACAAAGCAATTGTTGATTTGTTCCTCTATCCTCTTCCTTTTTCATTTTATTAACTTGAGAGGAAAAATACCTACTCACTATTTCCCATATGAAAACCTCTAAAAACGGATTGAGATAATTATGAGATTATTTCTCTGCCTCCTCTCCTCCACACCAAATCCCAATATTTTTCATTTTTCATATGAATTTTACTTCAATAAGATCTTAAATCTAGATTCTATACCTCTCATCTCAGTTAATGAACAAAAACAGAGTAATTCATGCACATGCCACAAAATATCTTGAAGTCCTTAAGTGTCAGCTCCACTAAAGTCTATGGACATCATTGGTAGTATTATGTTGTTAATTCATGTATTAAAAGAGGTTTACTATGCCCCCCTTAAATCTCATTCAACCAAATTCAAAGGAAGCCAGCTAAACAAGTACTATTTTCAAGTCCTTTACTGACCTGGCTATATACTCCCAAAGTGAATCATATTATTTAAAACAATAGTGGCTTAGACTTTTTTTTTTTTTAACACCATTAGAGAAACTTAAAGTTTCATTTTCTTTTTATTTTTTTTTTTATTTTTATTTTTTTAATTTTTTTTTCAACGTTTATTTATTTTTGGGACAGAGAGAGACAGAGCATGAACGGGGGAGGGGCAGAGAGAGAAGGAGACACAGAATCGGAAACAGGCTCCAGGCTCCGAGCCATCAGCCCAGAGCCTGACGTGGGGCTCGAACTCACGGACCGCGAGATCGTGACCTGGCTGAAGTCGGACGCTTAACCGACTGCGCCATCCAGGCGCCCCCATTTTCTTTTTAACATATCAAATGTAAGTTTTGGTACCAACACAGTTATGTATTTATGTGTTCTGAACTCAAACACCTCATGTTGGGCTTTCTTATATTAATGAATTCTCTACCTGTTTTATCAGTAATATTAAACATAGACTATCTTCCCTAAATTGCTAAAATCATAGAGTTCACCAAAATGGATTATTAAAAAAAAATCAGACTAATCTTGAAATCACTACAATTTCCAAAGTAAACACTTTGAGCAAGATTGTGATTTGCCACATTGTTTGTTTTTAAAGTATAATTTTGTTTTATATAGAGCATTCCTCACACTTTTTCATCTTACACTTTTTGATCAATATTTATCACTTCTAAAGAAGTTAGAAGCTGATAAAAAATAAAATTGCCTTCCCCCACCCCAGCACATTTTACTTACCTACAAAATGGGCTGGGAATAGTGGATATCACATAACACATCCCTCCATTCAGGCAAAATGACCTGTGACTGGGACCACAGGGCTCTTCGTGATCTAAACATATACATAAATGAAACTAGAGAAAGGCAAATTAAGTTTTTCTAATAAAACAAGTAAAGGACTAAGTATCTTAGACTGAAGTGGCGATTCTAAAAATTAAATGAAGAATTGCTTCTCAAAATGAAGAACTTAATCTTATTCCTTATTTGATAAGCAGGGACTTCTGTCCCTTTGAGGGAAAAAAATAATATGTCCTAAGGATATGACCATTAATTATAACAGATTTATAGGTTATATTACAGACATAAGGAATCTCTATATTCATTAGATTTTTAAAAAGGGATTAGGATCTTAAAATAAATGGTGGCCTTTCTCATTTAATACTAAGACTCTGCAACAGCTTTTGTTTAGAGTTTCTCTGTTCCAAAGGTATATTTAAATTCTTATCTTTCCTTTTGGTCTCAAATTCATTAAACTATGAAAACTGCTATTGGAAAATGATTTATGTAATTGAAATAAATTCTGATTTCCAAAATTATCTTTAAATATTTCATGTATGACAATTAAAAAAAAACAAAACAAAACCCAGGGATGCCTGGCTGGTTCAGTCAGTAGAGCACGAGATTCTTGATTTTGGGGTTGTGGGTTCAAGCTCCACGTTGGGTATACAGATTACTTAATAAAATCTTTAAAATAACAACAACAACAACAACAACAAAAAACCCAAAAAGTAATCTTACAAGGTTTTGATTTGCAAGAGGATTTTAGGTAACAGCTGATAACTGAAAAGACATCTAAAGTTCTAAAGTAAAATTAAAAACCTAAGTCATTGCTTGATATACAGCCAAAACTTTTAGAATATTGAAAAAATAAACTTCCATTTCTTGCATGCTTTCCCTCCCCCCTTCTTTCTCCATCCTTACGTCCTTCTTTATCTTTGACCCTTCCTTTATCCTGCTTTATCTCTTTGCCTTCCTGGTCTCCCATGGTCCCTTTCCTTCCTTCCATCCTGCACCTCCTTCCCCACACCTATTTTTTTTTAACTTTTTTCTTTTATTCCAAAACCATTATATAGAAAAATTTAGAAATATCTCTAGAATTCGCTGAGTCATTATATCACTATTTATAATTAGAAGAACAAATTGCTGAACACTTTATCTTTCAGCCTTTAAGAGGGATAAAACTGCACATTACTGCTTCCTAACTGTCTAGAAAATGACCTAGAATCATCTTATGTGAAGAAAATGGCATTACTCAGATTTGGCATTAAAAAAATCAGCTAGCATTTACTTGCCACTGAATATCAACAGTTGTTAAGATATAATTGCTACTGAGCCAGATGTCTCCGCCACCAGAATTTAAAATTTTTAAATATTTCTTTTACTTCAGATTTAAGAAGAATTGGTTTCACCATGACATTATAACTATAAAAGTATAAAAATACAAAGAAGAAAACAGAATTACAAAAAAATTTAGGTGGGAAAAAAGAAAGTAAACCAATCAGAACTAATCCTTCTGGATTTTTTCTTTTTTCCACAATGGTGTGCTTCTTTACAATGAAACAACTTTTAATAAGATAATGCTTACCATTTTTCAGGAATAATTTGGCTAACAAATAAAATCCCAATTAACATTACATCAGAATCACAGGAATCATCACATAGGGTTTTCTACTGGTATTTTACCTATAAAGAATGCTCATCTAACTTGAAGCATTATCTCTCAATCTATTTTGTTACTTTGATTTCATTTACTCCTTTTTAAAAAATTTATTTATTTAAGGGGCGTCTGGGTGACTTAGTTAAGCAACTGACTTCAGCTCAGGTCATGATCTCACAGTTTGAGTTTGAGCCCTGCATCTGGCTCTGTGCTAACAGCTCAGAGCCTGGAGCCTGCCTTGGACTCTGTGTCTCTTATCTCTCTGCTCCTCCCCCACTCACTCTCTGTCTCTCTGTCAAAAATGAATAAACATTAAAAACAATTTTTTTAATATAAAAAATTATTTATTTAAATTCAAGTTAGTTACCAGTGTAGTATTGGTCTCAGCAGTAGAATTTGGTGATTCATCACTTACATATGACACCCAGTGTTTATCCTAACAAGTGCCCTCCTTAATGCCCATCACCCATTTAGCCCATCCCCCCAACCACCATCCCTCCAGCAACTCTCAGTTTGTTCTCTGTATTTAAGAGTCTCTTATGGTTTGCCTCCCTCTTTGTTTTTATCTAATTTTTCCTTTTCTTCCCCTATGTTCATCTGTTTGCTTCTTAAATTCCACATATGATGATATCACTTACTGTTTTGTAAAGTTGGTATCAGATATAGGGTAAGCTAGAATTTGTCAATTTGTAAAAAGCAACAAAATATGTCTAAAATAAAATATTTTCATGCTATAAAAAGTGATCTTTCAAAACCAAAACATTTCAGATTTCTGGAACAATTTTAGATGGGGAAAAATATAGCTTTGTATTAGCACACTTTTTTTTGTGGGAGTGTTCAATTGCTATGTGACATACACTGACATATAAATTTACAAGAGGTTACCTGTTGGCATCTTAATTTTTAAATAGTTTCATTCTTGGTCAAAAGTTTAAGATTGAAAAACAGCACCTAAAATTAATAATTTAGGAGAAATTATCTTTTGAAGGCATTATAAAAGTCAAATATTCTAATAGCAAATATTTTAAAATGATGAAAATGAAGACATTTATACGTTAGTGACAAAATTCTTCAGTTAGTTTATCTATTTTGTTTAGATACTTACTACATATCAATAAAAACATCTGAACATAAAAAACTAAAAGATCAACATTAAAAAGTACAAATACAGTACATAAAAAAAGTATAAAAGTATATGACTCAGTATATACAAAATATAAAAGATATGACTCAGTAAATGAAACTGAATGACCTGAATTCACTTTTTACTTTTTCATAAAGCCTATTACTAATCTGACTTTTAAACAGAATTAATCAATAACTTCCAAATTTTCAGTTTATCGAAAATGGCCAAAAATTTACTATGGAAAAATCTTTAATAGCATTTAAAGGTTTGCATTTCTATAGAACCTTTAAAACTTTTATAAAAGAACTGTACTTTTACAAATTTACTGTAGATTGAACATTATTTTACCAATTTACATATGCTTTCCTTTTAAAAAGTATCTGGCATCTGGCACAGCAAAGTAGCTATTAAGACGTATGTGAAGTTACCTGCTATAACAGAAACAAAGGAATTAAAAAAAACACATGAAGAGATGAAGGATACTCACTCTATGATTACAAGCTCTCAATTTCGTTTTATAAAGTGACTTACTCCTGACAGGAAGACTTTGTAACAGAAATCTCAATCAACAGCTTCCTATTAACACAGGTGTAATATCAAGGTTTCTTCCCAAAGCCTTATACAGACAAGCAAAGAAAGACAGAGACATAGAAATTAAATCTACTTAATTTGAAATAATCACTAGCTAACTGCAGGAGTCCTTTTTTCAAACAAACAGACTTACCTCAATAAAAACTTACATTCATACAAACAACAAATTTTGTTGGATATTCAGCGTTTCAAAAGTTTTTGAATACTGCGGACTACATCTGTGCCTTGCATTTTATAACCAATTGAAAATCTGATTTATATGGCTGTAGTGTGCAGTGTGGGCAAGGTTGAGACAAAGACCAAGGTGTGCACAGAAGTCAGGCACCAGCCAAGGGAAACACCCCTTTCAGTTCTCATGTTCAGAGTTGCAAATGAAGCAGAATTTTATTTATAAAAGGACTTGTACTAAGCTGCCCTCTCAAATCACTGTCCAATTTTTAAAGTTATAAAATAAACCACATTCTTTAGACTCCTTATTTATCTTTTCATGTAGGAATAATTCAAGAGCACTGTATAAGTTTGTGGAGAAAAGGAATTTTAATTGAGAGCTAATGGATAAAGTTTCCACAGGGTATTTTTAAAAAAGAATTTCCTTACGAAGCACATGACATTTATATAAATGATGATATGAAGGACTTACAAAACTAAAAAGAGGTAATAGTTACAACAGAACAGATAACATCATGTTCAATTTGAAATGAATATAATTACTGAACATGACTAATATTAATGGCAATGAAACTACCTGCAAACTATGGTAAAGCTATAATATATGCATTAAGCAAACCCTGAGTTTTAAAAATTATAAATTTTTTACTTTATTTTATTTTACTAATGTTTCTTTATTTATTTTGAGAGAGAGTGTAAGCAGGGAAGGGGCAGAGGGAAAGGGAGAGAGAATCCCAAGCAGGCTCTGTGCTGCCAGTGCAGAGTCAGACGCTTCACAAACTGTGAGATCCACAAACTGTGAGATCATGACCCAAGCAGAAACCAAGAGCCAGACGCTCAACTGACTGAGCCACCGATGTGCCCCCAAAATCATAAATAATTTTAAAATGTTAACTAAAACTATAATTTTGTTTAAAATGAAGTACAGGGTTCTTCATCATATAATTACCTAAAGTATGCAAAGCATTTAGATGGTTATCTTCTCTAAAATAACAATTCAGACATTACTACTTGATGTGAAACTAGTATAATTTTTATTTTAATAAAGTATTAAAATAAACTCATATAACCCCAAACTCTGAAAGCAAATCATTATTGCATATTATTTCTCACATTCAAAGGCAATTTTTACACAGCTACAATCTTTATATATACATATGCATACACATATACATATATATTAATCATGTTAGTTTATTTACAGTGTTTGCATTTTAAAATGGTATTTTTAAGAAAAACGGTAAACTTTATTATTTTATTTGAACTACAGAACTATGATGCTGTACACTAACATGAAAACGACTACTAAATCTTAATGTGAAAGATAATCTGTAGCTTCATCCATGACATTCAAGATGTATTATTCAGAGATATATCTTGGAAATAGGTTTGGTATTATTTTTGCACAATGCAAATGAACCTAACCTTTGAGTCTATGTGATTCTAAAGTAGAAAATCTAACATTTTTCTTTATTTTTAAGTTTATTCATTCTGAGAGAGAGTGCATGCGCAAGCAAGGAAGGAGCAGAGAGAGAGGGAGAGAGAAAATCCTGAGCAGGCACTCTGCACCACCAGCACAGAGCCCGAACCAGTGCTCGAACTTACAAAATGCGAGATCATGCCTGAGCCGAAATCAAGAGTCGGACACTTAGCCAACTGAGCCACGCAGGCACCCCCAAAAATCTAACACTTTTCAAGATAACTTAACTCGAAATGAAAGTCTTGGTCTTTAAGAACAACTTATTTGTTCATTTACCTATCAACAAAAATGTAGTAAGTGGCCTACTGCTTTTAACAAATGACAGGTACATAAGTAATTACAAAAATGTTTTAGGCTGACTCATTTAAATCATATTTGGACTTAGAAAAATGACAATTTCATTCAAATCATACTAATATATTCTCACAGACACCTATGTATGTCACTATATTAACATATACAAAAACAAAGCTTAACTGTTACCAAGAAACAGGAAAAGATTCTAAGAGGAGGTATTATTTGTGCTGAGCCTTGAAGAATGAGTAAGAGCTTATAAACAGAGATAGATGAACATTCCAGGCAGAATTAACAGCATGTTCAAAGGCAAAGAAGAAAGAATGTATTCCTAATGTACTCAAATAATTACAGGTAGATAGCAGGCCACGATCTGTGCAGAATATGTGTGTAGAGTGTGTAAGGGTTTGTAGGAAGGCAGGATGGTGGGGGAAAAGAGCGGCAGGAACAGATAATGTAAAATAAAAAGGGTCCACATGATAGACATTATCTTAAAGGCTTAAAGGATTTGTAGCAAAGGAGAGAGAAGATCACATCTGCATTCTTGAAAATTCATTTGGATGACAATGTGGAAAATAGACTGCGACCTGCAGAGGAATGGATATCAGGCAAAGCAGTTTAGAGGCTATTTTAATAATCAAGAAAGTGAAGAAGTAAAGCAATGGGCATGAAGATGAGAAGGAGAATTAAACATACACTTAACAGGTACATCCAGAGAATGGGTGAGCGGTATATGAAAGAAAGAAATGAAGGCTTACTTTTGAGTATCCACGAGGGACACGTATTTGAAACCACAATGAGGTATCATATCATACCTTTAGAATGTCTATAATAAAAATGATACACAATAATAAGTGCTAGCAGGAATACGGAGAAACTGTATCTCTCATACTTCGATGGTGGGACTGTAAAACGGTACAACTTTGGGAAATAGTTTGATAGTTCCTTAAAAAGTTAAACATAAATTTACCATGAATGTATCCAAGAGAAGTGGAAACACACGTCCACACAAAGACATATATGAAAATGTAGAACGTTATTCATAATACCTAAAACTAGAAACCACTCAAATGTTTATCAACTGATAAATGGATTAAAAAATATGTTTAGGGGCGCCTGGGTGGCGCAGTCGGTTAAGCGTCCGACTTCAGCCAGGTCACGATCTCACGGTCCGTGAGTTCGAGCCCCGCGTCAGGCTCTGGGCTGATGGCTCAGAGCCTGGAGCCTGTTTCCGATTCTGTGTCTCCCTCTCTCTCTGACCCTCCCCCGTTCATGCTCTGTCTCTCTCTGTCCCAAAAACAAATAAACGTTGAAAAAAAAATATGTTTATAGCCATACAGTGAAATGCTGTTCAGCAATAAAAATGAAAAAAGTATTAGAACATGTTACAACATGAGTGGATTTCAAAAACACGCTAAATAAGCCAGTCATGAAAGACTGCATATTGTATGTTTCTATTTATACAAAATCCTTGGAAAAAGCAAATCAATAGAGACAGGAGTAGATTAATGATTGCTTGGGACTACAGCTAGACACAGGAAATGACTACAAATGAGCATAAAGAATCTTTTTCGAGTGATGGAAATGTTCTGAATTGGATTGTGGAGAAGGTTACATAAACTCTAAATTTAATGTCATTGAATTATACACTTAAAATAGATGAATTTTATGGCATATAGATTATACTGATGGGGAAAATAATAAACCCTGACCTTGATAGGGAAAAATTATGTTATAAGATGGCCAACAGGACTGATCGGGAATTCCAGTCCTCGCCTGAAGACTCTCCTGGGTTCTTCTTCCTGCCCCGTTTGCTGCTCACACCAATTGCCACTAATGCGGAAGTAGCAGACTATAAATTGTCCCCCATGCTTATGCTCTCTGGGCTCAGATCTTTGGAGAAACCATCTCCCCTGAGCCCATCAATGTAAATAAACTTCCGATCCTCCAAGATCTCTGAGCGCCGCTTCGTTCTTCCATTAGCGATCCAGCCTGGTTCCATAATAATACCTCAACAAAGCTTTTTAAAAAATAAAGGAATATCGGGCGCCTGGGTGGCTCAGTTGGTTAGACATCTGACTTCGGCTCAGGTAATGATCTCGTAGTTCTTGGGTTCAAGTCCCATGCCGGCTCTGTGCTGACAGCTCAGAGCTTGGAGCCTGCATGGGATTCTGTGTCTCCCTCTTTTTCTGTCTCTCCCCCACTCATGCTCTGTCTCTTTTGCTCTCAAAAATAA